CTTTGTTTTAAGAAAGTATGGCTTGGATGACCATGTTGAGATAGATAATTATTCTTCAAATATTTTGTACATGAAAGTTCAACAAATGAATTGTAAACTATTTTAGTTACCAATCAAAAAACATTATAAAAATGTTCCAAAGGAAATAGGCACCATCATTACATAAATAAGAACCCTAATAAAATTTCCAATAGTGATAATGTTGCAACTATGAAATTTAGTTGCAATCATATAAAGGAGCACACATAATTATATTGATATAATGATGAAAACTATGAAAACTTGTGAAGGCCAAACGCTCTGTAAAATAATGGCACTGCCATGGAATTTAAATATTGAAGATATGTACAAAAGTAAAAATTTCAAATAGTACGAGATTACTTCAATTGGACCTAAAGTTGCTACTTGTCAATAAATTTGGTTTTGACCATATAATCTGTTATAATAAACTCTAACTTAGAGCTTACTATTTAATTGTGATCAATCTATATGTGCACAATGTGTTATCCCATAGTATTATGATAACTTTAAAACAGATAACAATATATTTATGTTTCTACATATACCGTTGCTTTGTAACTAATAAAATACAAGATTAAACATACTTTTAGCATAGTACAATTTGAAGCAACTATAAAACCTAAGGGGGTTATCAAATAATGGATTGGGTGGTTCATGACAGCATTTGGCAACAAAGTCTAAATTTAGAACTTCATTACTAAGGGCAATGAATATGAATATAAATTGATTAATAAATTTTTGTTATTGTGCTGAACTATAGGTGCTTTTAGGTGAATTGTAGAATGGATATCGATGAAAAAGATATTACGATTCAGATTAAAAAAAAAAAAAAACTAGTTACTCAACATCCTGGTCTGAGCCAATATTACGATTCAGATTTAAAAAAAAAAACTAGTTACTCAACATCCTGGTCTGAAACTATAAGGAGATGTTCAAATTATTAGAAAAATGTTTCATAACATAAGACTAGTGGATTACTTGGTTAAAGATGTGGCCTTACATGTTGTATTTGATGAGTAGAATTATCCTAAGATTAAGATTCAAGCAAAGATCAAGATCATGTATCCAAGATATCTACATAAGAGAGAGCAAAGATCAACCTTTCTACAGTATAAATGAAGCCAAGACTTGATGCATAAACTTACCACTATCAAAGAAATACCACAAGAAATAGAGAAGAGATATCATAAAACAGATAAGTATAAACACTAACTATAAACATTGATGATGATAGTGATCAAAGAGTTAAAAAAACTCCCTAGCCTACCTTCTATTCCTAAAGTAATCATTGATATAATGATATCATTAGGCTTGAACAAGGAAATGGAAGAATTTAGTGAAGGTAAAAATTATGTGTCAGTGTGTAAAACAAAAAAGAAAAAAAAAAATCTTATAGCGATGAATAAGTTCTATGTTTTAAGGATATGGCGAGTTTATAAGATTATAATTTTATGGAAGATTTATATACATACCACTCAATCCCTATGTAATTACATATCAAACACCTAAGATTTAATTTTTACATTATATTTTATAAGTTGAAATAGTATTATACACACCACCTTAGTTTATTACATAAACATGCATGCCCATGTAATCACATTTTTTTTAAAAAGAAAAGATATGTATTCCAAATGCAATAAAGTTTTTTCCCATGAATACATTCAAAACTATTAACAAGAACTTAGTTGAATTATATCCTTTGTTTTAACAAAAATATCAAATAGTTGTTCGCTCTATATATAGTAATGATTAGATTATGCAATCATCTCCACTTGGATATAGACAGGCCAAATAAATAAAGCAAAAATAGAGCTTAATAAGACTAATAAGACCTTTTAGATTATCAATGAACGATGAAAGGAAGTTTCAATAACTAATAAATCAAGCTGCTGGCATAAAAAGTTTCAATAACTAATAAATCAAGCTGCTGGCATAGACCCCACTATAAAGAAACATTGGATCGGCAGTGTTCAAAAATCAATCATGAGAAGGCCAAGATCTTACAAGATTCAAGGTCAACCATGTCCATGAAGATCTAATCATGAATTTCAATGAATAATTCCAAAGGCTATCAACCATAAAACTAACCATCACAAAACCCAATAATCCAAACATTCAGTTCATGTTTCAATACATAACTTTCACAAAATTAATACACGACACATGGATCAAGGTAGAACAGAATTTCATAGGCCTAGCCTCTTTTGCTAAATAAAAGGAATATCTCCAACCTAAAATAGAAGGTCATTTTCAAGGATTTATCACTTTTCATCTTGAAGTCATACGAAATAGAGGAAGACAACTTATAAAAATTAAATTTGGACAAGAGGATGACATCCTTAATAAAGTGACCTTATTTGAGAAAACAAGGTACAAAGTGCTAGTGTTAAAACCATTGATCATAAAGGAATGACTAAAAGAAATAGAAGTCTGCCACTAAAAGAATCGATCTGACCTTAATTAATATGCTAATGGGGAAAAATAAGAACTACCGCTATTTTATCCAAGAGAACAAGCTCACTTAAATTTAAGTTATATTCATTGTGCAATTTATTAAGAAGCATCTTACATAAAATTGATTCATGTTAAATAGGTGAGGGGGCACTAATCATCGCATAGCCAATTGCTTAAAGAATGATTAGTTGACACGCCGATTTATTAAACTTAACCTAGGGAACATTTTAAAAGCTATTACATGTGTCTTCTTTGATGAACAAGAAGGCATAAAATTTCAATGTGCTATTGATAGGAATGATATCAATTCTCAAAACTCTTGTTCTAGTTATTTTTATTCACGATCAACAAACTCATGCATATCTGAAATAATGCCACAAAATCAATCATAAATTCTAAACCAGCAAAAAAAAGCATACCTAAGAAAATATGATATTATTCTTGGGATGGTTGTTATTATTTTAGAATGCTACCATTGATTGACATGAAAAAAGAAATAGTTTCAATCTACTGCATCCAAATCCCTTCTTCATTCAAAAGGGCATAAATAAATTAGCAAGTCAAACATCACCGTTAAATGAATAGCTACTACTAGAAAGTTTCAAGAAATATTTCCAAAAAATAAACTCAAGCAACTACAAAGAGACAAGTAAATTTTCCGTTGAATTAACACTTGAAAGTCAAAACCTCACTCATCTTAAGCATCATATTAAAGTTTATCTTGGAGCTTCAAGAATTAAAATATTAAGCTACATGAACTTTTGTAACCTGAGATTCATTTGACCTAGTGTATCAAACTAACGAGCCCCAATTCTTTTTGCGAGGAAAAAGGAAGGTCTCTCCATGAATCCATAAAAGGGCCTTACAATTTAGGTAAGGAATATCATGTAAAAATCAAATCAATCAAGAATGAGAATAATTTGCTTAAATGATCTATTGATCATTTATAAAGTGCAAAATTATTCAAAAAAAATAAATTAACAATCTAGGTATCATAAAAAAGGATCAACAAATATATAAACCAAAAGCAACTTTTCACATAAGTTACTGCTGATATGAATTCACATTTGTCATTTGGATTATCAAATGCATCAATAGGATTAAGAGCTTAAGCATAGAATATTTCATCTATACATGGATCAATTCATTATAATCACTATTATAAGCCTTATCCCAAATACTTGGAAAGAACTTTATGAAGCCTCATTTTTTATTCATTCATGTTGAGTGTTCTTTGAGTTCTTAAAATTATTATTTAAAATTATTTTAAATGACTAGCCATGTCAAATTGGGTTTAGACCTTTCTCCTTCCTCATCAAGCTATTTATTTCAGCTTGTCTAATTTGTACTTTTCCACCCTTCATTGCATATGTTAAAACCAACTAAGCATTGTCGGCCGTTTTATTAATTTCGTGATTTGAAAAAGTGATGATTTTGTGACCCAACTAAGCATATTTTCAATTACCCTTTCTTCAATAGATA